TCCTCCTCCTCCTCCTGCTCCTTCCTCCTCCTCCTCCTCCTCCTCCTTGTCCTCCTCGTCCTCCTCGTCCTCCTCCCCCTGCGTCGCGAGGTTTTTGTGGTTGACGTGCTGGGGCGCCCCGGCATTTTAACTGTTCAGGGGACACCTCGGGGGCTTGCCTAGGATCTTGTGGCGGGGCTCGGGAGGATGATCTGCCTGACCCCCGAAGTCGCACGCCAGTTCTCTCGGCGATCAGTTTGTTAGTTGGTTTGTTTATTTCAGCTGTTTCATGGATTTATTGATCCATGTAGTGTATGACATTTCGAATTCAGCTCCTGGGTCGCCGTCGTGGGGCAGGGGCAGCAGTAACCGGTCGTGAGCGCATTTTGACACTAGCGCGACGTAGTCAGAGGCAATGTTTAGCGTGTTTTGATGTAGATGTCACGTCCGGGATGGGCTGCCCCCCCCGCCTCGAGACGAGTATGTGACCCAGTTCAAGTCGCTCACGAACGATTTGCCCGTGAGCAGGATCGAGGACAGGCGCGCGAAGCTGTGCCATGCTCGTCTTCTCCTCGCGACTTGCTTCTCCCCGGTCGTGTGCTTCAACTCGTGGACGACTGTGGTCGGTTCATGGCAGGTTTTGGTTCACACAGTGTTTCGCGATTGCGGCGGAGCTCAGCCATGACTAGCACCACGGCTGTTCCAGTCCCGGCCGCCTACAGCGCCGGCCATCCTATCTTGTGCCACTCCACTTGGATTGCAGCGATGAGTTCTCTTTCTCTCGAGGTCTGGCTCCTCTCTCTCTCTCTCTCTCTTCTTCTCTCTCTCCCCCTCGCTCGCTTTTCTTCTCTTCCTCTCTTTCGTCTTCTCATTCTCTCATTATCTCGCTCCCTCTCTCTATCTCTCTGATTCGTTCCCATAGGTAATGTTTCGGTAAATGTGCTTTTCCGCTATCCCGACTTCCACTTGTCCTTTCTATCGTTGCAGCCTTCCTTCCTTACTCCGAGAGGAGAGGAGGATGAGTATGCTTATGAATACGAATAAGAAAGGATTTGGAGGGGGAAGAGCAGGCGAAGGAGGAGGAAAATGAGAAGGACCTTAAGGATGAGGAGGGTGAGGAGGGGAAAGATGGAGTGGTTGGTAGGAGGAGGTCCCCAGAGTTCTGGCCCGTTAACTCCTCTTTTGCCCTGATGTGCTCGTAGGCCTGAGCGCCTCGCGCTCTGCGATCAGAATTTGCCGATCTGTACCAAAGGCAGGTATTGGCTTGCATTGAACTGCATTGGTCGTCCATCTCTTATCTCCTTCTCTCTGAAGTCTATTTCTCTCCATCCTGCCTGAAACTGTCCTTAGTGTTGTCCTCATTCTCGTTCTCGTCCTCGTCATCGTCGCCCTCCTCATCCTCATCCTCCCTTTTGCCCCCGATTTCCATGCCCATTGTCTTCATTCTCCTCCTTTTGTCCTCATTATTATGATAGTTGTTGTTGTTGGTGGTGACATTGTTGTTGTCGTTGTCATAGTTGTTGTTGTTGTCGTTGTTGGTGGTGTTCTCTCTCTTTCTCTCTCCTTTCATCTGGGCATCATCACGTGTTCATCAGGAGCATCATTCCTATCCTCATCGTCATCCTCATTCGCACTCATGCCCATCCTCCCCATCCTCACTACCATCCTCATCTCCATCCCCATCTACGTTCTCATCCCGACTCTTATCCTTATCCTCGCCTGCGTCCTTTCCTGTTGAGCTCTCACCCTCCCCAAGGAGGTCTTCAGCGTGATCCGGGCAGACCTGAAGAAGCCGCCCCGAGACATATACGGTGGGCACGCGCCACCAGCCGGCCCCCGGGGCGGTGTGGCCACGTAGGTTTCGGGAGCCTTGAGACGGCGGTCAGCGCAAACGAGGGTCAGCCAGGGCGACGGATCTTGAAGGATCCTGCAGGGCCAGGGGCGCACTGACCCGGGTTTGGGTGCAGGATGCTGCAGGACCTTTCAGGATCTTGCAGGATCCTGCAAGGCCTGATTGCCCCGGGTCTGGATTGACCTGGGTCAGTAGATCCCCGCAGGGTAGACCAGGAAGGGGATGGACAAGGGTAGCGGGATGACGAGCACCGCCGATCAAGTTGTGATGTGGTTTGCGAAGGATTTCGAATGTTCCCCCCCCGCGGGCGTTCAGTGTTGAACGCTTGCCAATGGCCTTCGGATTGGCCCATGCCGAGCGGCCTGTGTTGTCGGAAAGCCTCGGCGGTCGCAGGCAGAGCGATCCATGATGGTTCGGTCGGACGCCAACGTCGGCGCCATCGCGGCGCGAGCCTGCCGTGGGCGATCTAGCCGACTGCCTCCCGGGGAGGGGGCCTTCGGATTCTCGAGCTTTGACCAGGAGCCGATCGCCTCCGCGTCCATCGCGCAGGCGCGCCGCGAGCCCGACGGCCCGCGTCTAATTGCGCCCTGCGGCCTGTCCACCCCCGCGCGCTGCGGCAGCCAGGGCGCTGGAACAGTGACCACTCTGGGCTCGGCCCCTGGCAGGCGAGGCGCAGCGAGCGGTGGTATGATGCTCAGCGGATGTCCGCTCTCTCCCTCTCTCTCGCCCCTCCTCCTCCCCCCCGTAGAACTGACCACTCTGGGCCTGGCCCCTGGCAGGCGTGGCGAAGCGGGCGGTGGCATGATGCTCATCGAACGTTCGCACTCTCTCTCTCTCTCTCTCGCTCTTTCTCCCCTCTTCCTCCCCCCCACGAAATAACCACTCATCCTCCTCTTCTCTCTCTCTCTCTCTTTCTCTCAGGAGGAGGAGGAGGAGGAGGAGGAGGAGGAAGAGGAGGAATAGGAGGAGGAGGAGGAAGAGGAGGAGGAGGAGGAGGAGGAGGAGGAAGAGGATCTCTCCCCTCTTCCTCCCCCACCCAAAGATGGAAGCAGGGGCCACTTTGAGGGCTTCAATGATAGGTCGGGGGCTCGGGTGTTCGGGCCGTGAGCTGGATCCGGGCCGCGGGGCCTCGACGTGGCTGGGGCCCGCCGTGGCCACGGAGGGGCCCCCAATGGGCCTGTTTTCCACCACCACCGCCATAAGTTGGAGGGGGGAGGGGGACCTCCTCCCCCTCTTCTTCTTCTTCGTCTTCTTCTTCTTCTTCTTCTTCTTATTCCTCTTCTTCTTCTTCTTCCTCCTCCTCCTCATCCTTCACCTCCTTCCCCCCTCCAACTTGTGGTGGTGATGGTGGAAACCAGGCCCATCAGCCCCCTTGCGTCAAGTCGGGCGCGTCCCTCTCTACAGGAGGAATAGAATTGACGCATTTGTCTTGGACCATGTTTCATTTTTCTCCAAAATCCGCCTGCAGGGGGACACGCCCGACCTGACCCTTGGGCTCCCTGTTCGGCGCTTCGTGCAAAGGGCTGCGGCGGGCGGCGGGCGGCGGTGCGTCTTGTGGCCGAGGCCGGATTCGCCTCGGAGCGTAGGTCGGGGCACCGCGGCAGGCCCCGCCGCGTGAGCGCCCGCCCTCCTCCCTCCCCGCACGCGGCCACTTCCTCCAGGAGGAGGGAAAGGAGGAGGACGGAGGGGGGAGGAGGAGGAGGAGGAGGAGGAGGAGGAGGAGGAGGAGGAGGAGGAGGAGGAGGAAGGAGGAGGAGGCGGAGGCGGAGGCGGGGAGAGAGGAGGGGAGGGAGGGAGGGAGGGGAGGGAGGGAGGGAGGGAGGGTGAGGGAGGGACGGGAGGGAAGGGAGGGAGGGAGGAGGGGGAGGAGGAGGGAGGCCGGAGGGAGGAGGAGGAGGGAGGAGGGCAGGATGGGAGGAGGGGAGGAGGAGAGGGAGGAGGGAGGAAGGGAGGAGGGAGGGAGGGAGGGGAGGGAGGGAGGGGAGGGAAGGGAGGGAGGGAGGGAGGGAGGGAGGGAGGTAGAAGGAGGAGGAGGAGGAGGAGGAGGAGGAGGAGGAGGAGGAGGAGGAGGAGGAGGAGGAGGAGGAGGAGGGGGAGGAGGAGGAGGAGGAGGAGGAAGGACGAGAACGAGGAGGAGGAGGAGGAGGAGGAGGAGAGGAGGAGGAGGAACGAGGAGGAGGAGGAGGAGGAGGAGGAGGAGGAGGAGGAGAAGGAGGAGGAGGAGGAGGAGTAGCAGTGGGGATGTCCTTAGAAGCGCCCGAGAGGGGTCGCGAAAATCACCGCCAAAACCTAAAAAACATGTTTTTTAACAATTCCTGGTTGTGGCGCTGGGCTTAGAAATAAAACAACGCATTTTTCACACATTTGTTCGGGGCGAGGCTACAAGGAGAAAAACATAATAGCAGATCTGCGACCACTAAGAGGCAGCCGAACGCGTGAGATTTTCGATTTTCCGAATGCGGAACTGGCCAGAGCTAAACAGGAAAAACCAAAAAAAACATGCGGAACTGGCCAGAGCTCCCCCCCCCAAAAAACAAAAAAATAATCGCACGGTGGAGCGGCGTATCTTTCAAGCTCCGAAAAATCACATCACACACCCAATGCCAACGACGGGATTTTCGTTTTTTACAACATGAGTCACGCATTGCGTGACAGATGGTTTATGTTTTCCCCCCCCCCCCCCCCGAATACGCCGTTACCCGCGCATGATGACATTACCGTTTTTTTATGGCCACCGCGGCCAGCCTGATGTTCATATTTTTTTCTCGTGATCGGTATGTGCATCTCCCCGCGTGGTTGGGCCGCGTATCTGGCGCCAGCCATGTATATAACAGACAAGTCCTAGGCCCTCCTCGGCCCCCAGGGGCCGTCCAAACCGATCCGGGCACCCCTAGCAACAAGCTCGGCGAGGGCACAGCGGCACCCCGGGGCGAACAAAAACCACCAAGGACCAGCCAAAAAAGAAACGAGAGCCTCGAGTCCGCGGCGGCGGCGGCGGTGAGGAGGAGGAGGAGGAGGAGGACGGGAGAAGGAGCGAGGAGTGAAGGAGGGAGGAGGAGGAGGAGGAGGGGGAGGAGGAGGAGGAGTAGGAAGAGTCAGGAGGGGACCGACCGACCCACCGATCGTATTTTCGCACCCCGCAAGCGCACCCAACCGCACAACGCTCAACGTCTGGGGCTTCAACCCCGCCCCTTCGCACTGGCGGCCCGCCAGTGAGTAGCGCGCACGGCGCAGGCACGCTGAATTCAAACGAGACCGCAGAGCGGCTGGCAGAGCGGAGCGGAGGGCCCTCAGCGGAGGGTGGAGGGAGGAGGGAGGGAGGGCTGAGGAGGAGGAGGGAGGTGGGAGGCGAGAAAGGAGAGAGAGAGGGATGGAGAGAGAGAGAGAGTGAGTGATCAACGGACGCAGGTGCAGCTCCGAACTTTGTCGTCGTCATCATGTCGTCATCGTCGTCGTCGTCGTCGTCGTCGTCCCAAAAGTTGACGTTCAGTCAAGCTGCACCTGCCCCCGAAGATCGAGCCCAGCAGCCTATTGCATCAAGTGGAACAGCAATGCCGACTGCTGGGCGACGGTGCCGACGCCATCGCTCACGCGGGCACGCTCCCGCCGCTCCTCCTTCTTGGCGATCCTCCTGTCGACCTTCTCCGCGTGCCTGGCTGCCTCATCCGGGAACATCGGGCGCACAAGCTCCATCATGTCGTCGAACGCCAAGAACTCCATCGATCCGAAGTTCTTCTGGGGCTCGGTCTGCGGCCCCGGCAGCTCCACAGCCACGATCTGCTTCGCCGCCGCCTCCTCCTTGGGGGACTCCGACTCCTTGGGCTCCACCGCCGGGGCCCCCTCCGCTGCCGTGGGCGGCCCAGGATCCTGGGCAGGAGCAGCAGCAGCAGCCTCAGCAGCGCTCCCAGGAGCAGCCTGGGCCTGAGCAGCCTGAGAAGCCTGAGCAGGATGAAGGGCCCCGCATGCGGCAGGGTTCGTCTTCTGCGGCTGCGGCTGCTGGTGGACGTCCTCGATCGCAAGCTGCGGCGCAGACTCCACGGGTGCCACGCCGATGAAAGGCAGCGCGAACGTCACCTTCACAACGCCGCCCACAGTGACGTCGAACTCGAAGCAGTCCTGCACCATAGCCTCGATCCATTCGTTGTTCTCAGAGGCCTTGTGAAAGTCATCCTCACTCATGCCCCTCACGGACCATGCTGGGGCGCACGTGGGAGAACCTTCCCCTCCACCAGGCGTCACCGACATAATGTACGTGTGGCCCTGGATTGTCACCTTGCCTATCTCCACCTTGTTTGCATACTGGCGAAGGTTGCGATCGACTAAGGTCTCCTCTAATGAGATAGCTCCAACGAATGCCAAACGGATAAGCCACCCATCCTTCACGGGCAAGTACTCATTCAGATCGATCGGGACCCACACCTTTTTGAAGTTGGCCTTGCCTGTCCTGGATACAGCGTGTCTCAGCGCCTCGGTGCCAACATCTCGAATAGTACTTGGCCTAGAAGTTGACGTAGTAGAACCCCTAGAGCCTCTAGAGCCCTTTGAATCCGAGCTGTGCTGACTATCTGCTGGTGGTTCATCGCCTCCACCCTGGTCGAGCTTGAAGTTTGGGTTCCATAAGTCGAGGATGTAATCTGTGAGCTCCAGGCCGACCTTGTATGCACACCATGCCCGCGGCAGTGTCAACGAGGGCACGCGCCGCATGCCGCCCTCGCTAAAGACATTGCTCACCACATCATCGATACCATCCTTGTCCACGCCTCCGTCCAACTCAACCGAGAAGAACGCCTTGACAGAGACATCCCAATTCTTGACCAACTTGTCCTCACTGGCGGAGGCGAGGTCGAGTAAGAAGGAGGAGGAGGAGGAGCAGGAGGAGGAGTGACTACAATCCTCCTCCGCCTTGGCATTGTGGACCAGCTTCTTTGCGATGAGCGACACCATGGTATCCTTGGCCATCAGTTTGGCCGCGTCGGTCTTCACGTTGAAGTCGTCCACGAGTTTTTTGCGGAGTTGGATTGGTGTCATCTGTCGAACAGACGCCTCTTTGGTCTTCGTCAAGGTGTCCCACTGCTGGTCGGTCTTCCGCACTGGAGCAGACTTAAGGTCCACAGCCTTTTCGAACAACGTCGTCCACATCTCCTCGTCAAGGCCATCTAATTTGCAGTCAGAAGCGTACATGAATATTGCATCTTTACACCCCATTGCAACTGCTACCCCAGACTTCATGAAAGCGTGGAGGTCAGACATCTGCTGTTTGAACTTCACCGGGATGACGTCCATGGTCAGAGCGGTGTCGAAATAATCACACAGCTTGGTCATCCCCAACAGCAAGTACCTCGGCTGCAGCTGTACAAGCGCCTCCACCTCTTTAAAGGTCTTCCAGTTGGCGTCTGACCACTTGACCAGGGGCGCAGCCGCGCTCAGGTCGACAAGCACGCTGCTAGGTGTGACGTTGAACTGACGCTCCGATCCATCAACGACGCCAGACTTCACCAGTGCGTACTTGGTTAAGAGGCAGGCCGTCGCGTAGAGGGATGGCGGAACTTCCTTATGAATGATAGGCGTGAGGAATCGCAAGACGGACGAGAAGTTGTCCTCGGCCTTGTCGAACACGACCCCTTTGAGCACATTCGGGAGCATCGCCGTCTCGAAAGAGTCGCCTCTCAGAGCTGATAGTATTGCAGCGTTCACCCTCGTATAGGAAACATGGCTCTCCTTCACCTCGTCCATGGTAGAATCACAAGACGGACGGTTCGTCTCGTAGATGTTGGCGAGCTTGGTCTTCAGGTACGTATGCTCCTTCAAGAGAATCTGTATCTTCTGCTTGATTGGTCCCAGCTCAGGCTGCTCCTCGTCCTCCTCGACGCAGCAGTCGTCCGTCAGAGGGCACTCGTCCAAGTTCACGTCGAAGGTTCGACACAGAGTCAGGTAGATATCCCACCGTAGTTCCGACCACTCGCCAGAGTACGTCTTCATTGCGCCATCAGCCGTAGTGAGGGATGTGGTCAGAACTTTGTCGCAGCCGAATGAAAATCCACAGGCAGTCAAGAGAACAATGATCTCCCACTTCGCGGCCAGAGTGGTTGCATTGAAGTCCACCCCATTTGCCTTGTCAACTTGCTCCCGACGCGCGAGAACAAGTGCCACAGTGTGCTTCACGTCGTCCAGGAACGTGAGGGTTCGAGCCGTGCCGTCTGAACCTGACACGATGTTGGCCCAGCCGTGCTGATGTGCTGGAACGTCAAGTGTTGGGCGAACAGGCTGCACAAGCTGCTGCTGCTGCTTCGCATCCGGCGCGCCGTCGTGAGCGTGGTCATCAGGTTCGCCGCCGCGCTTCCTCTTCTTCTTGTCCGCCTTCTTCTGATCCGCCTTCTGCTGCTTCTCCCGCGCCTTCTCAGCAGCTTTGGCCGCCTTCTTAGCTTCGGCCTCTGCAGCCTTCTCTTCCTTTGACTTCTTCGCAGGTTTGGGCATCTCCTTCTTGTCGGCCTTAACCAATGTCAGCATCGCGGCACTCTGATCACCTGGGTTGACATTTGGAATCCTTGCCAAGCGAAAGTGCTTGTTCTGCTGCATGCGGCTGAAGAGATTGGGCAGCTTCGTGTTCACATCAGCAGTTGACTTGAATACGTATGGGAGTACGTCTGTGGGCGCGCTCAAGTACAGCAACGCGAGCATCGATACCTCCTCGGCGCCGGCGTAGTCTGTGTGCCCAGCGACCTTCTTCAAGATGGACTCCTGTACTAACATCACCGTGTTTGAGGAGAGGCCCGCGTACGTAAATTTGCAATGGGTGTCCATGAAGGCCAGAACGGAAGTCAAAACGCCGTGTTCCTTCAGTTTCGTCCGGACACGCCTTGTCCTGAGGAAGTCGGCCATGCCTGTGAAGAGTGCTGGCCACGCGCCCTGGATGGTCTCCCACTCGGCTGTTTGGTGACCAGCTTGGGACCTGACGCGCTTCTTGTCCCCGCACTCGCACTCCTCGTCATCGTCCTCCTCGTCGCCGTCCTCGTCGCCGCCGGCGCCGACATACTCTGTGATCGCAGTTGATGCGGAGGTCGCGGTGGCAGAGCCGCCAGAGGAGTCGAGGGAGTCGGGCGCCTGCTCCGCCGCCTTCGCTCGCTTCTTCGACCTGTCATCCGCAAGCTTTGCGTCAATATCAACGACGAGCTTGATCCTCTCCAGCCACGATCTCTGCGACCCGTACCCAGTCAGACGATTCATCTCGTCTCTGTAGTATTGGAGTACATACGCGGGGCAAGTGGGCTGAAGAAGAACAACATCTCTGACTCCACCATGAATCGTAGCCAGGACTTGTTCGTTGTCTGGCTTCTCTGCGTGGGCGTCGTATAAAGCCTCATGCAAAGTCGCAGCCGACACCTGATGCAAGGTCCAATGAGCCCTGTTGACGGACGATGGAACGCAGTACACCTTCCCAGCGCGTATGTCCTTCCCGATGCCCTCCTTGAGTATGCGGTCCTGGGAAGGGGCGGAGGTGGGAGGATGCATGATGGCTGGGAGGGCTGGAATCTGGAAGTGAGGGTGGGGCGGAGCAGTGGAGCAGAGCAGGAGAGTAGGAGGAGGGATGGAGGGAAGAGGTGGAGGAAGTGGGTGGGCGGTGGAGTAGCGGGGGAGGGGAGGGGAGGGGGTAGGGGAAGGGCAGGGAGGGAAGGGAGGGAAGGGAGGAGGGTTCAGAACCGAACGTTCCTTGTACTCCGCCCGCACAGCTTTCTGACCACGCCAGTTGATGGTGTGCCTCTTGAAGACTTTATCGCCGTTGGCGTGGAACCTCTGGCGGGAGCGGCAGAGCCCCCGTTCTCCTCCTCCTCCTCCTCCTCCTCCTCCTTATCATCATCATCATCATCATCATCATCATCATCATCATCATCATCATCAGCAGCAGCAGCAGCAGCAGCAGCAGCAGCATCATCATCATCATCATCATCCCTCCTCCCTCCTGCGTAAATTGTGAGGAGCTCTCAGGCGAACGCGCGATCCCGGAATAAATTGCGAGGACGTATCATCGGAGTCTTCAGGAGGAAGAGGGAGGGACCATGGTATGATCTCGTGGCCAATATCCTCCAGCACGAACTTCGCGTCGACCGCGTCCCTGAGCACTCGGCCTGAGAGGCCGGGGAACTGGTCGTTCACAGTGCGATAGGTACCGACTGGCGCTCGGATGCCTCCCGGCTCGAGCGACTCGCCAGCAGCGCCGCCACCACGGGCAGCCTGGCAGGGGGGCGGAAGGCAGAGTTGAGGAAGTGGAGGGGGTGCAGCGAAGCAAGGGAGGAGGCATCAATCTCCCATCATATTTTTATTGATGATCCAGCCTGGGCCGATCCTGTGGTCGCCAAGGCTTGAAGCGCGATTGCAACGGGCAGCAAAGAAGCAGCTGGCAGGAACCAGACCCACACCCACAAGGTCCTGGACAATCTGCGACATTACACCGCAGACGCTGCACTTGGTCCTAGACCATCTGCGATATTGCACCGCAGGTCCTGGAAGCGATCCGCCGCTCCGCGGTATCATGCCGAAGGCTGCGCTATGTAGCTGGTTGGTGGTAGAAGGCTGGTGGTGTGGCAGGGCACGCATCTCTTCTCCGATCTCCTCCCTCACTCTGCCTCCCCCTCACACGCCCTACAGAGGGCGGGCTGACGCTCAATCTGCTTACAACTATCACAACACTATATACCGAATTGCCGAAAACGTCTGTAAAATGGCGGGCGGCATGGCTGTAAAATCTTCACACGCGTGGGAGCTCTACCCCATCCTGGCGAAAACTTCAAACGCTTCTGCATAGCGGCTCCGCTTGTTGTCAGGGCCGTCATGGCCTGACGGGCCCGCCGGGTCTGACTGGTTCCTCGTGACGGTCGTGACCGTCACCGTCGTTTTCGTCAACGTCATCCCATCCACGCTGCTGGAGGCCGTGGACACGTGCACTTCGACTGGACCGTCGGCTCCTGGGCCCTGCTCCGCAGGGCGGTCGGCGACTTCCGGGCGCTCCGCAGGGGGGTCGGCATCATGCTGCAGCGCGGCAGGTGGTGGTGGTGGAGGCACATGTACGACAAGAGGAGAGGGGCGACCGAGGTCGGGGAAGGCGAGGACGGCGACGCCGAGGAAAGAACCCATGACGTTCACATGGTAACAATTGCCCTGCTGCTTCGCCTGCGAGCGCCGCGTCCTTCAGGGGGCCACAAGATATTGACACCAAATCTACTGCTCAATCCTGCTGCCACTGTTGATCCTCCCCCTCCTCCTCCTCATCCTCATCCTTATCCTCCTCCTCCTCCTCCTCATCCTCCGTCTCCCTCTCCTCATCCTCCTCCCTCCTCCTCATCATCCTTCAATCCTCCTCGATATTCCGCCCAGGGCTCCTCTTATCAGGAATCAGGTGCGGGTCCAAGTCGCGCGAGAACTGGCACATCACGCCGGTGGTGACCACGGCCTCCTCCGTGACAGGGTAGCCCATCGCGGTCTGCAGCTCGTTGACCGTCACAAGCCGCGCGCTCACAGGATCCACAATAGCTGCAGCGTTGGCGATGATCGTGTGGAGCTCTGGTCCACGAGAGTTCATGGGCCTTTTCCACGGGTTCTGACCGACGTCGTAGCACTCATTCGGCGCGTGCGTCTCGTAGAACTCCGCCCTCTTGAGCTCGTTGGGACCAAGCACAGAGTACGGGGTCGCATTGATGTCGAGGCTGCATACGAAGCCGGCGCGGTCGAAGTCCCTGACCGACTTGCGGTTCGCAGCCCACTCGAGCTCGGCCTCGATCTCCTCCTGGTTGCTGACAAGGAAGGCCCTCCAAGTGAGACCCGGATCCCTCCCCCTATGGAACATGAACGCCACCATCATCTTGATGTCGTAGAACTCGTCCGAGGAGCGGCGAACAGGGTCGCGCGGCAGGTTCAAAGCGTCGAGGATCGGGCACGCGTACTCCTTCAGGATCAGCATGGATACTGACCGCTTACGCTGGCATGGCCAACCATACTGCGAGGGGCACGTTGAGCAGCGGACGATGAAGTATAAGTCGCCCAAGTGGTACTCGAGCTCGCCAACATCGAAGCGCTCCACATGTTCGTGGAGAACTATCTTCTCCAGCAGACTGCGGCGCATAGCGCACCATTGAAAGAAATATTTGGCGTACGGCCCGTCCATCCCCAGCATGTCGCCGTAGACTGAATGGTCCTTGCAGTTCGGGCCAGCCGCGTGAATGTCACACGACGTTGGACTACAGAGGCAACCGTGCGTCAGGCACTTGCCCTTTGCCTGGGGCCGCGCCCGCGGCAGAACGCATCGCAGCTCCCGGGCGGGTCGCTCAAAACCTCTGCTGGTCAAGCCGACGTCGTCCTTGAGGTGATCCGGGGTAAAGTCGAGTATGTCGCCGAAGATGCAGTGGCGATGCTCGCGGGCATGAATGCGGGCGAGGAGCGCCAGTTCTTGCTGGCACTTGCGGTCCCGCTCCAGTGACCACTGGTGGTCGAAGGTGATCGCATCGTCACGCGGCACGCCGTCAGAGGTCAGCTCGGTCGCAAGTCTCGTCCCCGCGACTCCCAGCATGCTGGCAGCGATGTGGTCGGTACCGATGCCACTGAAGGAACTGGACATCGTGACCCGCCGCCCAGTCAGAGCCCTAACCAGGGACTGCGCACTCATAGCTCCAGTCGAGGTCAGTCGCCGCAGTGAGTGGTATGCCCAGCCCTGCAACTGCCTCAACGACGACGCGCCATCCATGATGGGCCGAATTCGCTCGAGGTCGATCGTTGGGTTCAGGCGACACGGGCGGCTCATGCCAGGCGCCTGATCTGCGGGCTGCGTATGCAGTTACGTGGGCAGTGTGGGTGCGAAGATGCCAGCACAACAAACGTCAGCAGAGCCTAAATGGCAACGGCACAAGATGGCCCAAGTAGGGCCCAAGATGAGGTCGTCTTGGAGCCTCCCCACCAGGTTCTGGGAGGGTGGTGGTGGTGGTCGTGGTGGGGAGATCCTCCCCACCAGGGTCATGGGGGGGCGGTGGGGAGGTCCTCCCCACCAGGGTCCCAGGGGTGGTGGGGAGGTTCTCCCACAGGGTCTGGGGAGTGGGGGTGGATTGATCCCCACAGGGTCCAGGGGGTGGGGGATGTCCTCCACACAGGTCTTGAGGGGATGGTGGGGAGGTCCCTCCCCACCAGGGTCAGGGGGGGCGGTGGCGAGGTCCTCCCCACCTAGGGCCAAGGGGGTGGGGGGAAGGTCCTCCCCACCAGAGTTTGGGGGGTGGGTGTGGGGAGTCCTCACCCACAGGGTCCGGCGAGGGTGGTGGGGAGGTCCTCCCCACCAGAGGTCCCTTCCCCACCACGGGTCCGAGGGGTGGTGGGGAGGGCCATCCCCACCAGGGTCTGACCTGCGGGGATCGGTTGGGGAGGTCCTTCCCCGCCAGGGTCATGGGGGCGGAGGTGAGGTCCTTTCCCACCAGGGCCCAAGGGGGTGGTGGGGGAGGTCCTCCACCACAGGGGTCCGAGGGGATGGGGGGACGGTTCTCCCCACCAGGGCCGGGGGGGGTGGGGAGGTCCTCCCACCAGGGTCCGGGAGAATGGTCTGGGGAGGTCCTCCCCACCAGGGGCCAGGGGCGGGTGGTGGTGGAGGGTCCTCCCCACCGGGGGTTCCAGGGGGGTTGGTGGGGAGCGACACATCACCCACCAGGTTCGGGGAGGGTGGGTGGAGGTCACCTCGACACGCGCAAACCCCACCAGCGGTCCAGGGGGTTTTGGTTCATGCGTTCTGGAGGGGGGGGGAGGGGGGGGGGGGGGGGTTTTTTCCTCCCCACAAGGGTACGGGGGGTGGTGGGGAGTTCCTCCCCGCCAGGGCCCAGGGTGCGGCGGGGAGGTCCTCCCCACCAGGGTCCGAGGAGGTGGTGGGGAGGTCCTCGCCGCCAGCGCCCAGGGAGTGGCGGGGAGGTCCCCCCCACCAGGGTTCGGGGGGGTGGTGGGGAGGTCCTCCCCGCCAGGGTCCGGGAGAATGGCGGTGAGGTCCTCCCCGCCAGGGTCCGAGGGAGTGGCGGGGAGGCCCTCCCCGCCAGGGCCCAGGGGGTGGCGGGGAGGCCCTCCCCACCAGGGTCCGGGAGGGTGGTGGCGAGGTCCTCCCCACCAGGGTCAGAGGCGGTGGTGGGGAGGTCCTCCCCACCAGGGCCCAGGGTGTGGTGGGGAGGTCCTCCCCGCCAGGGTCTGGGGGAGGGCGAGGCCCCCCCACCAGGGTCTGGGAGGGTGGTGGGGAGGTCCTCCACACCAGGGCCCAGGAGGGTGGTGGGGAGGTCCTCCCCACCAGGGCCCAGGGGGTGTGTGGGGAAGGTCCTCCCCACCAGGGTTCGAGGGGGTGGTGGGGACGGTCCTCCCCACAAGGTCCAGGGGGTGGTGGGGAGTCCTCCCCACCATGGTCCGAGGGGGTGGTGGGGAGGTCCTCCCCAGCCAGGAGGCCCAGGGCCCCGGTGGTGGGGAGGTCCCTCAGC